TATATTAATAGTAAAAAAAAAAGAAGGAAAAAATAAAAATAAATAAAAGTGTGCGCGTGTGTTCAGTGTAAACAACAACAGAGTGAAACAACAACAGCAACAACAACAACAACGACTGCAGCACCAGCAACATCAGCAACAGCAGCAACAATAACGGCAGCAACATGCAACAGCAACAGCAACAGCAGCAGCAGCAGCAACAGCAACAACAATTGCAAAGTCAGCCAAATCCAATCAGAATTTTGACTTGGCTTTAACTTTGAATGCAGCTCACAACAAATGGCAACATTTTGTTAAAGCCGACGCCAATTGCTGCAACAACAACAACCAAAACAACAACAAAAGCGCGCGTGTGTGTGTGTCTATGTGTATGCAGGTGTCTGTGTGTGTGTGTGTCAAGACACAACATAGTCAATGCAACAACAGCATCAACAACAGCAACAACAACGAAAACAAATCAAAAAGTTAAACAAGAAATTTTTAATAAAATTTATGAATTTTTTTGAGCACGTAAAACCAAAAGCAAAACAACAACAACAAAGTATCTGCGTGTGTGTGTATATGTGTCTGTGTGAATGTGAATGTGTCTTAACTCAAAACTAACAACAATAGCGACAACAGCAAATTAGTTAACAATACTAACCAAAAGAAGAAGAAGAAGAAGAGGAAGAAACGCAAAAGGATTGAATTGCTGTTGCAAGGCTGCGCCAAGTCTGTCTCCCGATGCCTCGACAAATGCCGCAACAGCAGCAGCAGCAACAGCAGCAGCAGCAGCAGCAGCAGCAACAATAGTAAACAAAACAAACAGCAACAACAACAACAAACAAACAACAACAACAAACAACAATTCATACAGACAGCCCACGAATGCAGCCAACATTGCCACAAGCCGCTGGGACAGCCGATATGGATCTGACGGCTGTTCAATCAATCAACGATTGGTTTTTCAAAAAGGAGCAAATTTATTTATTGGCACAATTTTGGCAACAGGTAAGCGAGTACCACACACCTCAGCTCAATCACCATTGGCCCAAGCGCCTGCCCCCTCAGTGTGGCCAAATGGCGAAATGTTACAAGTGTGTGTTGCAAGTGTTTCCATAAGAAGTTTAATAGAATATATAAACATATATATATGATTGATATGTATATATGTATTACAATATATAGGTAGGGTATATGGACTATAGGATAGTGTTGTCTAGTGTTGTCAAGTGCTCGATGCTGGCTCATCTATGGGCTATAGTATATACATATATATATATTAGTGTTTACTAAGCTGATTCTCCATGTGGCAAGTGTGTGAAGTTGTTTTTCCC